AGGGGGGGCCTGACCCCCCCCCCCCCCCCACTTTTTTTGCCAACAATACTTTTACTATTGAAAATGTTCATTGAAAGGCTGGTTGGCCCCCTACTTTATACTAAAGTTAAGTAATATGAAGGAAATATGGTATTGTAAGCTTAAAAAATGGATATTGAAAGGAATTGGTAGTGAAAAAACTTAACCCAATCCCCCCCCCCTTCCCCACGAAATAGGATTTTCGACTTTGGGCAATTTTCCTTTTGATTTTTTTTTTTTTTTTTCTTGTCAACTTTTTCAGTTAAGGAAAAAAAATTCTGTGGCTGCCCCCCCCCCTCCCCCACTTTCAAAATCGATGCTACGTGCCTGTGAACTGAAAATAGCGAAACTCAGAAACTTTATACACATTTTTAAAAATCTGTTCAATAACGATGCTCACTTACTAAAAAAGTTATACATGTTATATGGGACTGTTATTCTGTCTTCGTTGAACAACATATATATCATATATTTCTTTTCGAGTCTTTTAAATGAATACTAGTATATGAGAGCAACCCCTTTTTTTCTCCAGAAGATTACGCATACCATCTTGGGGAAGAGAAGTCTAATTGGATCGTGTAACAACCCCCCCCCCCCCCCCCCGCCTTTTTTTCTACGATCATATGTGCTACCCAATATAAAAATTAAAGGCACAGTATGTTTATCATGTTCACTTCTACACTTATTCTTGTGACTAAAAGTTGAGAAAGCTTAATGAAAATAAGTGCTTTCATTTTTCTGGGTCAATTATACATTATAAGTTTTTTTTTATTTGTTGACGTAAAATAAAGTGTTAAGAGTGGTCTGATTCATTATTAATTTGGAAGTGTGTCAGACGAAAGCGAGTGACCTAAATACATGTCTGGGGGACGAAGAAAAAAATGTAGCCTTGAAGTGTTTGCTAAGAAGACTATAGTGTAAATCGGTTCAAAATTTTAATTCTAGTTTTGTAATATGTAGATGCTGATATGACCTAATAGTGTAGCTTAGAATTTTTTGTTGTATATACAAGAGAGAGAGAGGGGAAGAGAGAGAGAGAGAGACATAAATTATTAAGATTATAAGACTTCGGATTTCGATTTAGAACTGAGGGAAAAAAGTCAATGCCACATTAAGCATGTTAAGTGAATACGCATTTGAGGTTTCTGTGAACTCATTTAGTTAGCTTTCAATGACCATTTCTTGTTACAACGTTACTGTGCATGTACTGAATGACACTCTTTTTAGCAAAAGACAAGTTTAGCTTTAAAAAAGGGGGGCTATTGGAAACGTTAAAATCTCGAATCCATTAAGTACATATGACAATGATTGAGACGTCATCAAGATACTAGCAGTATGAATTGAATGAAACACGGAGATAATGCCTTAATCAAGCTCCAAAGTTCATTAAAACAATACAAATCGTGTGCAGAGCAAACACGGACCTCTAAAAACATCTGAGGTGAATGATTTATATAAATTTCTGTAAGTGATTTACCAGTCGAATGCACCTGCTTGCAGATAACACCCAAGATATGATCATATGATCATATATAGGAAAGATGGGAACACACACAGATTTGTTTGTTTACATTAGAGAGAGTTTTTTTATGAATTAGTCAGCTTGATAGAATTTAATATACATTGTACATGTATTCTGTGGAAATGAAATACATGGAGATGATGAACGGTATTTCAGCTCAAAAGTCCATTAAACAATTCAAATTTGAAGCAGATCAAACACGGGTCTCTAGACATGAGAGATTAGCATCCTCGCCCTTCTGATCGGTCATACTCGCCGTGGGAAATAACAAAAAGCAACTTTAAAGCAACCCCCACCCACCGCCACCAACATGAACCCGTTTCTAAACATGAGTGGCATAGCTTAGGAATGGGTTTCTTCTAGGGCTGTATCAATATATCGATATATCGATACGTATCGATATTCAAGAAAAATATCGTATCGAAAAGTAACTTCCAATACGTATCGGACAGACATTTTTTCTTCAAATTCTGTTTAAAAGATGGGAATTTCAATCACCAAAGATTATATTTTACTTTTTTGAATTAAAACCTTCAATAATTATATAATTTCTAAGGAAATAACAGAGTTTTTATAATTATTACAAAATACAAAAAGAAATTTTTTTGAACATGTTGATTTTACTGTCATTAAAAGTTTTAATTGAAGTGTTATTTTTTAAGACAATGAGACAAGAACTTTAAAATGGGTAATAAAACACTTAATTGTTATGAAATGTATGCATTAAAATGATTAAGAAGCCTTTTCTGATATGGACTTGTTTCAGAATCCAATATATCGCATATCGCTTAAAAAAATATTGTATCGTATCGTATCGAAATTTTTGGCTCAATACACAGCCCTAGTTTCTTCATGGGTACTAGAATTTGCAAAAATCGTTTTACATTGACAATTTCAGTTCTGTTAGCTTTCCAAATATGACGTCATGTCTACAGAACTGGATGATTGACAGGGGAGGAAGAATCCTATATAGCTTGGACTTGTTGGATTGTTAACACTAAGGGTCCGCCATACAGTGGTACAATGTCCTTCAACTGGGGCTTATTCAGTAGATGCTTGACCTCCCCGCCACTTACAAACTGCATCAGACTGGAATAAAGTGGTTATTTCCATCACCTGTTACTTTTTAAAATTATTTTAAACCTTTGTATACAAACATGTACATATTGTCTGGGTCAAAATCCCTAATTATAAAGTTTTCAGTGCGTTTAATGTTTTGATTGGATTGAATACCCCCCCCCCCAAAAAAAAATAAATAAAATTAAAATTAATAATGGAGAAGAAATAAATGATTAGTACTGATGCAACCTTGATTCTTGATGTTCAAATTTTTTTCGAGAAAAAATAATCTCAACGACTTTTTAAATGCTGTCATTACACCTCGTTAATAAATTCCTTTAGAAAAATAAAATAAAAAAAAAATTAATAAATAATAATTTAAAAAAACATATGTGTATGTAAAGCTTGACAATAAGCGAAGTGGATACGCAAGGACTTTGTCATTACAAAGACAGAAAATTAAGGAGGGGGATGGGGGGAGATAGTTTTCTCATTTTATAATTCCATTATAAACATGTATGTTTATTTCACTCTCTATGTAAAACGTTCATTTACTTCTTTTACTGTATATTTCGGCCTTAATTGTTTAACCCTTTTCTTTTTCCAATTGATATATATTTACTTTTTTAGTACTGTGCTTTAAACGACCCCCAATTCAGTTTTAGTATTTACCAAGTAGATGTGGCCTTGAGATTTGCACGAAAGAACTTGCATAGACTATTTTTGGGAAAAAAAAATGTACTGATCAAATTAACGATAAACAGTGCCAAAAGTCTCTTGAATAACTCTCATATGCTTCATCACTGCATTCTAAATAAAGAATTCATTAGTAAGACGTAAGGTTTCAAAACAATGAAAGTGCAAAATAGACGGGAACTTCATCACTTCTTTTATACATAATTTACTTCAAAAGAACCAATTTAGTATGTGAACATGAATTGATATTAAAATTGATCATTCATCTCCAATCCTCACTTTTTTTTTAATCCAAGAATGTTTACTACTTTTTAGGCACCTCAATGATCCTTTCTGAATTTCTGGAGGTCGGTGTTTATCCTCTGTTCGGAGATTTGTATTGTTTACAGTTTTTTTTGTAGGGGGGGGGGGTGTTTTGTTCTTTGTTGTTCTGTTTTGTTTTTGTTTTGTGTGAATGAGTGTCTTTTGTTTTTTACAAGAGTTCATTGAGCTCATTTTCGTAAGTTTCGTAAAATAAATTTTTCGCTTTATAACGCGAAACTTTCGAGAATAAACGCATAACTGTCGCGTTATAATTCAAATCAACAAGAAACTTTTGCGTTATAACGCGAAACTTTTGCGTTATAACGCGAAACTTTCGCGAATAGACGTGTAACTTTTGCGATTAAACACGTAATTTTCGCGATCAAACGCATAATTTTCGCAAATTAACGCTTATTTTCGCGATCAAACGCATAATTTTGATGGTGACGTAATATGTGAAAATTGGATGACAAATGTTCATTTGTCTCCAAAAGGCTCACTGTAGAAATACATGTACAACATCGTATTTTGAGGTTGCACCACGTGGTCATACCACTGCTTTCGAAACATTGACAATGAATTCAAAGTGTACAAACTCGCAATAAAAAAAAAAATCAATCTTAAGAATTCCTTGAATCAACAAGTAAAAACAAGAAAATCTTTAAAGGAATATTCATTTTATTTTAAATAAAATGCAAAACTCTGAAGACCAATCTATCCTATTCTCGCGTCATTTCTGTTTTACATCTTTTGAGAAAAAGTCATTCATAAATTCATAAAAGTTCCCGTCTGCCTTCATGTTCCATATCTGTCATTGAAGATCAAAGATCTCAAAGTAACATTACTACATACATATAACCTCGCGATATAACGCGAAAGTTTTGCGTTTATTCGCGAAAGTTACACCTAATAACGCGAAAGTTGCGCGTTTATTCGCGAAAGTTTCGCGTTATAACGCGAAATATTTATTTTTTCAACCTACGAAAATGAGCTCAATGGGCGTTCGTAGTTTTTTATTTAAAATAGAGTCAAGTATATTGACATGGCGCTGACAAAAATTTAGATATGAAATAAGTACAACATATATTTTTGATTTCCATTATACTCCCCCCTCCCCCACTCTACCCAAACCATCCCCTACATATGCTCACAATTCTTCCAGACTTTTTATCATTTTTTCTTTAAATCTAAAAGTCTCGAAGAGATTTCAAGTCACTTTTATGACTTTTTGTTCTTCTTGATAAAACTCAACTTAATTTGTTTGGGGTTTGACAGTTTTTGGTCGCCATAAATTTCTACCTAATTAAAAGGTACTTCAAAAAATCAGCAGATCTAATCTTGCCCCTCCCCCTTCCGGGTCATGCGACCTACCTCTCACTATAAACGAGCGCACACAGTAGATTCTTTAACACAGGAAATCTAGAGAGCTACTGGAGCACCATAACCAGCTAGGGACCATTGAGGGTTGGAGCATCATGACTAAAGCCATTTTCTTCATCATGGCTGCATTTGTGATCGCGGTGATCAGTGCAAAGACTATTCGAGGTGAGCTCTTTCTAAATACTAGTATTTTCCTTTAAAAATAAATCAAAAGTAAAGCTAATCCCGGGCAATCTCTCTCTCTCTCTCTCTCTCTCTCTCTCTCTCTCTCTCTCTCTCTCTCTCTCTCTCTCTCTCTCTCTCTCTCCTTTCATTGTTGAATTTGTTTTTCATACTTTGAAAATTTCGAAATGTGTTGACTAAGTTTACTCCCGGCAGTGTTGATCTTATTTTATTATTTTATGTATTCATATGTATTACAAAAATACACATGTAAGTGTTGTATGATTGATTGTATATTGTTTAACGTCCCTCTCGAGAATTTTTCACTCATATGGAGACGTCACCGTATGCCGGTGAAGGGCTTCAAATTTTGACCTTTACTCGGCACTCAGGGCCATTGAGCAGTGAGGGATCTTTATCGTGCCAACGCCTGCCGCTGACACGGGGCCTCGGTTTTTAAGGTCTCATCTTTACGTAACTTTACGTATTATTACGTTTTTACTTCAAATTATAAATTCATGTATTAGGAATCTACATGTAGATAACTAGTTTGAAATCTGGCTTTTTCTCACGATTTTAATATGTGGCAAATATCAAAATTGTGAAAAAAGTCAGGAAAACGCCAGATATTTCGGACTAAACTCACCACTGCGCTATTTTATATTTCAATTTGTGAAATTAACAAAATGTTTTCAAAACACATTTTAAGTGCTCATAGAAACAGTATGAAATATGTCAATGCATTTTAATTCCAGATGAAAATGCGTGTGATACAGATGAGTTTATGTGCCTGAGTGACGGTGAGATCACGTGCCTCCCTGATTCATGGAAGTGTGACGGAGATGCCGACTGTGACGGAGATACCGATGAACAGGGTTGTCGTAAGTAGTCTTATTTCTAAAAAGTTATTGCGTGTCCAGTACACTTTGATTAACGGGCTAACATAAGTATTCCTAGTCGAACACACTGAGTATGCTTTCGTTATGCTATACTAAACACGTGGTGAAAGATTGATCGAATATACAGTAAGACTATGAGACTATGTTGTTTGATCACTGATCACTGCAACTGCAAGTGAAGTTTTTGTTAGTATTGGAGGTCGAACAGGTGGACTGTCGCAAATATTACCGATGACACACGTGTATAATTTCGAAAGAGCCTGGTAACCGTCTAGCTCGCCTGAAATTGATGTTTTTACATATTTTATTTTAACAGCTCCAACAACTTGCGCTGAAGATGAATTCCCGTGTGACTCTTCATGCATTCCACAACTCTTTGTGTGTGATGGTGACGTAGATTGTGACGACAATAAAGACGAGGCATCTTGTCCTTTAAAAAATCCACTCACAAATCACGTAGGTTTTAATTCTACCTGTATGCCATGATATCTACTCTCAACTCTTTCTTTTTCATGAGAAATGACAAAAATTACTTAAATAGGCATACGAACTTATTGTATTGATATATTTGTTATCTCTTACAAAAGTTTATATTTGATTACTTATGTTACAGGTCTAGGACCAAAACAAGATGTGACAATACCACGTGCCATAGACTTAAGTGATGACTATACCACGTGCCATAGACTTTAGTGTGATTCTACACCATGTGCCATAGGCTTTAGAATGATGACTCCGCCCTTGTGTTCCCGTGTTCCAACTTTTTTTTCTTATTTTTTTTTTTTTTACATCTTTCTCTTTATCTCAATTTTTTTTCAGTAAAATTACTTGTTTTTATTTTATGATTTTTTTTTTCTTAAATGAGATATTTTATTTTGATTTTATTAAAAATAAAATTTTACAAACATGATTGATTGTTATCATTTATGAAACATCGTAAAGTACATTCAATGTACATATACCGGTATTATTAGAAAATATTTACATCCACTTAATATTTTCTCCTTGCCGTTAATCATGCAGTGCATGAACAACACTAAGCATATCACCTGTACAGATTTCTTGATCAGTGGCTGTTCCATCAATGAAACGTACAAAGACATTCATATGAATTGTCAAAAAATAAAAATAAGTAAATAATGAATAAATAAAAGGCGCGGATCCAGGAAATTTTTCCAGGATGGGTCCACCCCAGTAGAAAAAAATATAACCACCCAGATATTTCTTAACGAGAGAAAAAAAAAACAAAAACCTATAAACTCCTTTCCTAGGAGTGAAAAATAATGGGTGGATGTGGGGAGGGGGTTGGGTTTGACATTTGATGCTTCATATCTATGACTTCTCATTTAACACGGATCCGCGTTTTCTAGGGGGGGGGGGGTCCAAGGTCATGCATGTTTAGTTGGTTTAGTTTATACATAAAATGTCTGTACATATTCCAAAGGAGTGGTCCGCACCTCCTCTCTATATCTGTGCATGTAAAACATAACATCGTTTGGCGGGGGAAGATGTTTTGAAAATAAATTTACATTTTCCGTTAATGTCTATGGTGAAAAAATTTCTCAAATTAAAGATTTATACCTACGAAAGCCCACTCCGCAGACTTATCAGACTTTTTTTCAGCGAAGAAGAAAATAAATAATCTGTCCTTGATCTTAATTATTTGAAATAAATAATCTAACCTTCAACGACATGAAAATAAATAATCTGACTCGAAAAAAATTGCTAGCCCCCCCCCCCCCCCCCCTCAGAATCAAATGGTCGTCACCTAATAAACGAAAAATCTTCGTTGGTAAATCTGCCATAATTATATGTGGTTGGTTTGCAGAATTGGTATCCAATAAAGGTTATAAATGGTAAACTTGGTACCAATGTTTTGCCATTAGCCAATTACACCACCTAAAAAAATCTACCAATAGGAGATTTGTGAACACACCCATTCAGTATAATATAATACATATTAAAAATTTTAATATTACACTAAACTACCTGCACTATTTATATAATATCAGCATTTGAGAGAGAGAGAGAGTTGTAATGAAATTAGTTCTGTATGGATTTCCACATCCAAAATCGTTTCAAACCAAGATGTGTTTGTAAAACACTGCCCCCGTATGGCAGCTTATGGCGAGGGTTGCATTCTCTCAAATGCATGTCAAACTCCAAAGGTCAAGGTCAAAAATGATGGTAACCAAAAGGTGTACCCAATATTCATACCAGCTGAAAGGTCTTGTCACAATAAATACACATGTGAGGTATGCAAGCCCTACCTCCAACTTTTCAAAAGTTATGGCCAAGGTTAAAGTTTGGTATTTTTGTAATAGTGGGTCAAACTCCAAGGTTAAGAGGTCAAATTTGGCGGTACCCAAAGAAAGGTCTTGTCACCAGGAAAACACTTGTGAAATATGAATTCAAAAGCCATAGCCCCACATACTCAATAGTTATGGGTTAGGTTAACGTTGACAACAGACAAACAGAAAAACAGAAAGACTGACTGACAGACAGGACAAAAACAATATACCACTGGGATCTTTCGATTTGGGGGCATATATTATAAAAATATTTCAAGAGCTGCGAACGCTAACTCTCGATTCCCGTCTACATTTTGCACCCATTTAATTCAATATTGATGTCAATTTGGCCAAAAAATCTTTGTTTGATACAAAGAACAGTTCAATGGTAATTGATTAATTATTTTAATACCAGTGCTAAATAGTAATTTGTCTCAAATTCTAGCTCTTGAAAAGAGTGGGGCGATAGACGATATTTTCCATTGAAATCGGACTTTCATCACCATATTTTGAAATGTTCCTTACATCTTTTCCTATGTTTTATGCAAATAAATTAAACACATATATATTTTAACAAAATACATTTTTTTTTAGTTGTGAATCCCTTTGAAATTGGTGAAAAAATAAGCATTTTTATTCGTTTTTTTTGTCTATAAACATACCCCCCCCCCCGTGTATCACAAACAGCTTTGGTATGAAATTGTGAATTGACAGTCCATATTAACTGTAAAAAGGAATTTTTGATTCCAGGGGGAGGTTGGTTGTATTAAAAATATTTTTCGTTTTTTTGTTGATTTTTAAAGTGAAAAACACGTTTTACCAAAATTATAGTGTTATCTCTCTTTGTTTTCCCAAATAAGTAAATGTTTTATCAGGGACCTATGTACATGTAGAACATATATTAGTATATAGGTCCCTGGTTTTATGAAAATCCACATACATATCATTAAAAATATTAAAAAAAAAATCATTCGAATATGTATATATGTATGAATTGAACGCGGAAAAATTTTATTCCCCAATTTCGGTTTTCTTCTATATATATAGAATGCCGAACCCGAGATGTTCATTTCTCAACTTTTTTACTTTTTTTTTAGGTGTTTGTTGTAAAGCGTGAAAGATTTAATGAAATCAGACATGCTCAGCCATTGATACAGACAAAGAAAGTACATAAATATGTCATCGAAACGTCCATTAAAAGGCAAGTCTTTTTAAATATTGAAATTAAGTTGTTCAAAAAGTCAAAAATTAAAATAGTTTCCCAAAACTGAGGATTTTCGAGCTAATATTAGTGATGGTTCCAGATCTGTTTTATACATATATTTTATCAGATACCAGAGACTATACACGTCCCTCTCAAGAGTTACCTGTAAATATTTTGAATTATGAATGCATATGGAATTTAAAAACTCTTTATTACTCCTCTGTTTGTCAATGAATTTGATTCAGATGCTAATAGTTAATAATCAGGTTGAGCACAACCCACCAAATGGTCATTTATACCCAGTTTGGTAGACAATCTCCCATACTGGAGACGAATTTTACTGACCATTTGTTTGAGAACAATGGTCGTGTTCAACTCCATGGAATGGCTTATAATTAGCTGCAGAACTGTAGCTCTCTGCTTGAGAAAATTCTGACCGATAAAGCAGAGAGCCACAGATCCAAGCATAGACCGTTTCACGGTAACTGCGGTACTGCTCTTTTGCAGGGCTAAATGACATAGTTTGGTGAAATATGACGTAAAAGTAATTGTTTAAAATACGTAATTTAGTAATCTATTAACAAAAAACCGTTATTATTTTGCCCTGCAAAAGTGTAGTACCGCAGTTATCATGAAGGGGCTAATTGTAAAAATATGGAAAATCAACCAACTTTGTTAATTGTGTGAGGAATATGTTCACTAAAATTCCCCAAAGCCTAAGCAAATGCGCATTTGCTTTATTTATTTTAAGAAAAATTAGAATAGAATTTTTTTTAAAAAGTCCACCTTTTGTTCAGTAAAATTTGTCACCGATAGATATTGGAGATTGTCAACCAAATGGGGTAAAATGACCATTTGGTGAGTTGTGCCCAACCTGTTTATATATTGATGGTGCAACCATTAGGGTGAGCACAGATACCTTTTCAGTGTAGTGTTTAGAAACTGTATTTAGACTTGTCCCTTTAAACGCATGTGACATTTGATAGTTTACAGCTTAAGATATCATATCTAAAAAAATTCAGCTATATCTGATGATTTATTGTTACCCCCCCCCCCCCCATATATTTAGTATATTGAAGGATACAAACATAAATTGTTTTCTTTACTTTTTTAGCCCACATTGCTCCACCAGGAGACTTTATTGCTCTTGGTAAGCACAACAAATCTGGAGGTACGGATGGAGACTCAGCAAAAGGTTCGACTCCCAAAAAGTTAGGAGTACCCTCAGGGAAAAGAGAGGCATCAAGCATGGGAAGTTCTGGTATGGTGAAAAAACCTAAACTCATTGGGCAGACCTTCACACCACTGGGACGGAGTGATGTGGAAAGGAAGAGCTCACCTGCTCCAACTCCACCCTCAATATCACAGTATGAAGAGCTGGCCATTGATGGTTTGTATGATTCTACATAAAGAGATATCTTCAGGGCTGGAAATTCATGTATTTCTCACTGGTCAGACTGACAGTCAAAGTTTGTTTGTTTGTTTGTTTTTTGTGAATTTGTCCCAATTTAGAAATATGCAGTTGGAAAGGAAAGTTCAAAAGTACTATTATAATAATAGTATTATTTTAGTCAGTTGAACAAGTGTTTACAAAGAACTGATAAAAATCAGGTTTGAACCCATTTTCCTTAGCCATGTACATTAATTGCATTTCATTCAGGAGTATTTTTTGCCCTTTCAATAACACTGTTGTCATGTACATGTACATGTAGTTTGATCTGAGGAGAGGCAACAACATCCCTACAGCAAACAGTGTTCATCAATGGTAGTGCTTTATTTTCATTTTACAGTTGACCCACAAGATTTATTAGAGGAAATTCTGGATGCAGAAGACACATGTGATGATGAGAGATTGGAAGGACTATTTTGTGGAGCTGTGAAACATCTCCATGGCAACAGGTCCAAACCTGACCCAGCTGTGTATCTTACTCTGTTGTATTTGGCCAAAACAAAGTCCACGGTTTTTAACAGTGATGTTGTCATTCAGGTAGGAGTCGAGTATTATTAGCTCACTTAGGCCAAATCATCTGTAGATGTACCAAATTCAATCAAAAATTGCGAAACACTGAAAGATCATTATTTATCAAAATTTTTCATCAGATTAAAAGAGTAAAAATCTTTTAAAAATTTTCTGAGGAACAGCGGGGCTATAAAGGTTAATCGGGTGAGCAGTATGACGTTTGGGCCTCTGGTTTATTAATTTTTTTTCAGTTTTAGCATATTTCATTGTGATATGTAAGAACAAGGGACAGAAGTTTGACTGGCACCTAAATGTATCTGTGTGTTAGCTCTTGCCATGTAGGCACTAATGTCAAGAGCCAGTCCCTACAATCCAGTTTTTTACATTAATTCAGAAGGGGGTTATTTTTTAGGGGGAGGGGAGAGAACTGCATGGATAGATATTCTTTATTTAAATAAAACTTTTGAAGTAGAGTACTATATAAAAAGTAAGGATACAAAGTTCTTCATTCTGTTAACCTGATAATTTAACATAAATTATAAATACACATTGAGCCAATTTCATTTTCAGGCATTTTGCAGTCTCTTGAAGAGGGATATGTCCCTGAATTTTAAATCTAAAGGGAACTGCTTGGTGTCAGTATGTGCATGCAGTGTGCTGATGGCTGCATTTTCCAAGGAAGATAACTGGCCAGATGACTTTGTTAAGGTGAGGCTAGCTTTGATTCTTCTGAGGACTTGAGGATAACTTTTATGCATAATTCTTGTTTTCATATTTTGAAATTAGCAATAATGTAAGACTTATTTCCAGAGTTTCCCTATATCTTCTGTCAGAGCAAATATAGATATTATGAAATTATTTTTGTTTTTTTTTTCAAATGGTAAAATCCTTTTTTATTCAGTATATACACAATATTCATATTCTGATGAGTAATATAGTAGAAGAAATCTTTTACAGGTATTTGTGGAGGATTCTCTGGGAGAAAGAGTGTGGGTGGATAGGGCAGACTGTAAGGCCTTCGTAGACAACATTATCACTGCCTTCAACACCAACCTCCCAGCAAAGTCAGCCATGGCTGTAGAGCAGTCGTCAGCCAAAGAGCAGTCTGGCACAGGTACAGGAGAACTAAGGGGAAAATGTGTATCTTATCTATATTCTGTATTGTAAATACAGATTAGAGTCTCTATGAAATGTTCATTTAAATCATGAAAACTTTGTGTTTGACACAAAGTTACTCATGATTAGAAGAGAATTTGTTATAACCCTGGATCAAGGTTACTGTAGATTCCTTATTTTTACACAAGTTGATGATAACCAGTAACTATTCATTCGCATCAAATCCAGAGAACACGAATTTCTGAGTTGATGCTTGATGAGGAGAACATGTATTTCAGCCTTTTAAAAAATGGAAAGGGCTAATTTAATTTCACTTGTTGCACATCTTGCATTCTTGTTCTTACTTTTCATGTAGAAATTTTTGAAAGTAATTCTTTTTGCAAAGAAAAATATGTGAATTACAATGAAAGGATGAGCCTCAACCCTGCCGTAAGGTCATTTAGGAATGGTGAAGATAGCATGAATCTAAAATTCTTGTTCAAACAATAATTTTATATTGGAGATTCATTAGAAGCTCATGTAATTTGGTCCGTGTGTGTGTCCTGCCATGAGTTCCCCCACAAACATTTTTCTTAATGCACCATAATTTTTTTGTATAGCCAGTCCAGTTGTTGGTTTTTTGCAAGATGATGATGATAAAGATTCAGAAGTGAAAATCTCAGCCTTGGTTGAAATGGAAGCAGTCCCTGTTCTTCCAAGGTAAGTTAAAAATGGCTTCTGACAGTTATTATGAAGTCAGTGCTAGCTTGATTCAATATTTAATAATTTCTTTGTTATTATTTAATAAAAATCATAAAAAAGAAATTTTATCTGGTAAAGATCTATGATAAAGTTGAAACATTTCCAAAATCTGACAAATATTGGTGCAAGGGAAGGCTGTGCAAGTTTCTACTACTTTTTAAAGTACAATTATTTTTCTATTAAGATATCCTTATCAACAAGAAAGTATAGAGATGACCATCATGGAGGTAATAAGAGAGCAGTTAAATAAGAGACAACCCATGGATGCCACATCAAGGAATCTGATCCGTTTTATGACGGCCACCTGTGGTTATGGAGAAGTCAGACTTTTAGCAGCTCAACGGCTAGAAATGTGGCTGCAGAATCCGAAAGTAAGCATGAAATTCAAAGAGGTGGAAATTCAAATGTCTAGTGAAAGCAACAAAATTTAAGACATACATGTACACTGTACATGTAGGTAGTTGCATGAATATTAAAGAGATGACCTCACTTAAGTGGACCCTGCCTAGGAGTCTCAAAGACTAAATTAAGAGACGTTGTGATGAACCTGTATAAGTAACTTTTCATGTCCTCTGATTTTGTTGATTGATGTGAATGTGAATAGAATTCACATGTTGATTAAAGAAAACAATTTTGTATATTTTTTCCAGTTGGCCAGACCATCCCAAGAGTTACTGATGTCCATCTGCATGAATTGTAGACAACACGACCAGAAAGATTTAGAAACCATGGCCATTCTAATAAAGATTAGAATGAAGACAAAACCACTGCTCAACCATTTCCTTAATTGTCTGAGGTACATGTATACCTCACTGAAATCAGAAACTCAAAGTCTCTCGGGGGAAAAACTTTCATTACTTGTATTTTAATTAAGTCTTTGTCTTATTGTGTTTTAGAAACTCTATCTTAAAATTGTGGCATGTTTTAAAAAGTTTTTGAAAGGGGTAGATATCCCAGTCAAAATTCAAACTCGTTTGCACTCAAAGAAGTATAATAACTTTTTTACTTTCAATCTTTCTTCAAATATATCACTGTATGACTTTTGTCTTGAAATACTTTTCTTAGAGAGTTATTGGAGCAACACCCCGAGAACATTCGGATGATAATGACACACACTATCTACAACGAACTGTCTAACACAAGAAACCCTAATAACATGGCCATCATCACGACACTATTCCAGAAGAATGGAGAACAGTCTGCTAGGGTAAATATGATAAAAAGAATGATAAAAATAAAAAATTCCTCACTTTCTTAAAGAAATTAGATTGTAATACTTTGTATTCATATACCTGTAGAGTGAAGCTAGATCCCAAATGTTAATACTAAAATGAACATGAAACTATTTTATGATTTTTAGATAAACGTAAAAGTTTAATGCACTTTCAAGTAATTTGATAACATAATGGAATAAAGTATTTCTGATTTACATGTACTTCTTGAATAATTAAAGACTCTTATGTTTTGATTTTAGATTCTAGCTGAGGTTTTCCAAGACTTGCTAGCTAACAAAGATGACTACTTGAGAGCAGTGCGTGGACTGTTCAGGGAGATAGTGAGGTCACTGAAGCATGACATAAACATCACTTCCTTCTGTCTCGGTCTGATGCAGGAGAGGGTGGAGTCAAAGTTCATGGACTTAGATCACAACCTCAGGGTAATAAATGTGAAACTGTAGATTGTAGAATTGTGTGTAAAGTTGGGTGGACGAATTGCTAGTAAAACCAAAACTTGAAATCCTCCATTACTGCTAATAATGATTTTGTGATACTTCAGGAGCGTTATGTGATGGCTATTGGTGACCTGGTGACCTTAGCGATATTTCTTTGTATCACACCTCAAGTCAGGGAGGCTGCAGCAGCTCTGGCCAAGGGAGAGAAGAAAGGTCGTGTTTACATCTTAATTCAGTTTTTATATAAATATCAGTCATTTTTTGAAATAATTATAATAGAAATTTTTTATTTAAATCTCAAAATATATCTTCATTATGTAATTTGATTTATCTATCATGCTAATGCAGAATTTATACCGAAATTTCAAGTCCTTAAATTATAGATTTCCTTTGATTGGTCTGGAAAATTTGAGACATAACATGAATTTATTAATCTTATAAAGGTTTGGATATACTGTACATATTTTAAACAAATAAATTATCTTACAGAATTGGGTACACTGCACACTTTCCGCCAACAGGTGGCGCTTATACAGAGAGATTCTGTGTGGTGGTTACACACCATTGTACCCAAAATTATCGAGGTCAAACTCTCAGAGTATGTGCATTGGTAAGTGTCTCATTTATTTATTATTCAAAATAGACCTTCTCTATGATCTTAACCATACTATTCTAAAATTTGTATTAGTGTAAAATCACTCAAGATATTTTTATCTATAAACTCCTGCACTGATATATAGTGATCAGAACTTACCAACTGATTCCATTCCTTTTTTTTAATTTCTTGACCTCCCCTTTGACTTTTGACTATTTGTTGTGTTTAAATTCAGTGTCCAAAAAATGCAAGATACATGTACATGTATTTCACACTACATAGATATACAAATTTGTGAGAGCTATTCAACCATATCACAATTGCCAAACCTTAACCTTCCCTGTGACCTTGACCTCATTATTGCTCATTTACTCTAAATTTAAACAAAGAGGCAAGAAATATGTCTTCTCATGCTGCATTACTATTGAACCCTAGACATAGTATTCATGTATCATGGGCAAATTTTTAGTTTCTTTTTTAATTCTATAAATTGAGAATAAAGGTAAATGTGCTTTTTAAACCTGTGAAGAATCTTGAAACATCTGAAACTTAAAATGCACCATCTATTAATAATATGAATATCTTTGAAATGACAGCCTCCACAAGGTGCTATTTATGGAGAGTGCTGACCAGTATTATAACAAGGATAACTGGCCCCTGGAGGCTGATAGAAGGTAAGTATATCACACTTATCAGTGTTAGTACTAACAAGTTCATCACACTTATCAGTGTTAGTACTAACAAGTACATCACACTCATCAGTGTTAGTACTAACAAGTATATCACACTTGTCAGTGTTAGTACTAACATATACATCACACTTATATTAGTGTTAGTACTAACAAGTACATCACACTTGTCAGTGTTAGTACTAACAAGTATATCACACTTATCAGTGTTAGTACTAACATATACATCACACTTATATCAGTGTTAGTACTAACAAGTACATCACACTTGTCAGTGTTAGTAATAACCAGTATACATCACACTTGTCAGTGTACTAACATTGCTATTAGATACTGTCTTCCCTAGACAATCAGATAGCATATATATCATTGACAAAATTTATAATCATTGATTGCCTATGCATAGACATCCTTTTGCTCAGACCCACCATAATTCACGTACATTTTTTATATGAATTTTACCTACATGAAGGTGTATGTGATTAGGATGCTAAATTGTGTATTTTTTTAATGTTTCCCCCACAGTACATTTCTACACCTGGCTACAAATGTCCCTGTCCTGGAGGACACACTTATGAGGGTTTTGGTCATTGGACTCTCCAGAGATTTACCGCTGGGCCAGGTGGATGCTGTGGAAATGGCAGACCAGCTAGTCAAGAGAGCAGCCAGTCTCTGTTTGGATGGTAAGCAATTCTTTTTTTGATTTCTTGCCCTAAGTTGGGAATTATTCTGGATCAAATTTACTTAAACTATCAATACTCAGTAATTTTTCTTGACAGAATTGCTTTACTTGATTTAGAAAAGGTATTTCTTACAATGGTTTCCGAGAAATTCCCCAAATATCAAATAAAAAGAATAAATTTTATCTTAAATTTCAGTTTTCTGACTGGCTACAGATTACTTCACCAGGACTTACATTAAATAAATTGTATACAATTCTCTATCAATTTCTTTTTACTTAACCATATAAGTCTTTTGTCATTTCTAGGTCAGGTAGTGTTACAGATGGAGAAGTTAGAACTGGTGGACGCTCTCCTAAATTTGTGTAGCTACAGGCATCCAACGGATATCACTCTACCTAAAGGGTAGGGTTACTTGTCTTCAATCAGCATCTAATACACTAGATAAAGAAAATGACTTACATATATGTATATCAGTATAAGAAGACAAAGTCTGTATTTCTTACTGAATGTTTTATTATTTAGGTACAAACCTCCAACCTTGGCTATCTCTAATCTGTACTGGAAATCCTGGGTTATCCTGCTTATTTTGGCAGCCTTTAATCCACAAACATTTGGTTAGTATATTATCTGTTCCGTCATATTAATTGTTATGCCCCCCCTTCGAAGAATGGAGGGCATATTGCTTTGCTGCTGTCTGTCTGTTGGTCTATCTGTCTGTCCACCATCAGTTTCCGTTCATTTTCTTCTCAGAGGTTGCACATATTGAAATGAAATTTGGTATACAGATTTATCATAAGAATATCTAGTTCACATACTGTTTAACCTATGATCAGGCCATTTTGGACAGAGTTATGCCCCTTGGACTTAGAAAAATTCCAATTATTTGCAGTTTCTGTTCATTTTCTTAACAGAGGTTGCACATATTGAAATAAAATTTGGTATACAGATTTATCATAAGAATATCTGGGTCAGGTTCTGTTTTGGGTACGATGAGGCCATTTTTGGACAGAGTTATGCCCAGTAGACTTAGAAAAATTCCAATTATTTGCAGTTTCCGTTCATTTTCTTTGCAGAGGTCGCACATATTGAAATGAAATTTGGTATACAGATTTATCATGAGAATGTCTAGGTCAAGTTCTGTTTTGGGTACGATCGAGCCATTTTGGAATAAGTAATGCCTTTTTGACATAGAAAAATTCCAATTATTTGCAGTTTCCATTCATTTTCTTTCCAGAGCTTGCACATACTAAAATGAAATCCAGTATTCAGATTTGTTATAAAAATATTGAATCAAGTTCTGTATTTGGTATGCTCGAGCCATTTTTGACAGAGTTATGTCCCTTTGGAGGGGGGCATATGTGTTTTACAAACATCTAGTTTTATTTATGTGTTCATTTAAACTTTTTAGTAGCTACCAGTATTAATTATTTTTTCCTATTTAACTTCCACAGGACTGACTGGCTGGAAGAATTATCCAACACTGAAATGTCTGATGGAGCAGGTTATGACAGGGTAAGAACGTACTTGTAAGAAAGGGATGGAAAAAGTATTAAATAATGAAGGACAATGCAGAAAACCATTTTGATATACTACGTGTATATACATACAAAGATTATAAATGTAGAATAAATACATAATGTCTGATCAATAATGGTGCAGATGTCCTCAATTTAGCATCTTTCATGCTGTTCTCCTTGTTATTTACACTTACATATACATATTGTACATATTGTACATGTATGACTTAAAAGCTTGGCTCCATATGTACTTATGTATTATTATGCTAGTAAATTGATGAGAATGATTGTACCTTTACTAAATTTTGAAACAACTCTTTATTTATTAGTCTATGTTTTACATTTACTTACAGGAACTTTGCATTCCCTCCCCCAACAATGGCTGATGGGGAATTAACTGTAGATGACATCCGTAATAAAGAAAAACAGGTTAGAAATATGACATCTGCTTCTCATATTTATAATATAGTAAACGTTGACTTCTTATTCAAAGCTTTCTCTACTTACAGTATTTAATGGACAATCAGAGAGAGTCTTTTAAGCTTTGACTTTTATCATTGTGTATGTATTATATACCTTTTTAGCTTTGACCTTTATCAGTGTACGTATGATATACTTTTTTCAACAGTTTACCCAGCAAGAGAAGCAACAGATACTGGAGTTTGAGAGCCACCTGGCAGCCGCCACAAGTAAAGTAACAATAACAGAGGCCAACAGTCTGCTGATCTCACAGCTCACAACCATGGATCCTAAGTAAGTCACCAAGATAGAAAAACGGCAGGAAAAGAGGCAGATTTCTTATCCAGGATAAAAAATAAGCTCAATGATATCACATTATTAATACTAGTACATGTTTTGTATTTGTTTGTAGTGGAATAGCTAGAAATCCTCCCTCTGGTATAACAGAACAGTTGAAGCTTCTGAATGACAATCTGAGGATAGGACAGATGCTTTGTAGAAGTCGACAACCAGACTTCCTTCTAGACGTCATCCAGCGACAGGTTGTACAAAGATAAAATCTCAATTTTAGTCATTAAAAGAAATGATAAACAGGAAAGACAACACATATATATTCTTGGAAACTGCACAAAATGTTTGCTTTGAAACTTATTAAGGTTTAAAGTCAATTTTGAAAGCCAGCATGGAATTAAGTGCTTCTAATCCATTACTCCTCACAAACCCTTGACCTTTGGTGCTATTAAAAGGCACAATTCAGTGTACTCATGTCAATGTGATTTTGTCCATGTCATGGCTGTAGTAACATTATACATGTATACACATAAGTTTGTTATTGACAGAATGTTATTTGGGAGTTCCTAGTCTATTTTGTGGCTGTACTTGGTTTAAACATGTTTTATATTACTACAGGGTAGTTCCCAGTCCATGTCATGGCTGGCTGATTTTGTCATTACAGGGCAGTTCTCAGTCCATGTCGTGGTTGGCTGATTTGGTGGAGTCCAGTGAGGGATCCCTGGAGGTTCTCCCCGTCCAGTGTCTCTGTGAGTTCCTCCTCCACGATGACGAAACCCCCACAACAGACGAGGACACCAAACAGCTTGGCAAACACAAACATAAACAGGTCTGTGTAGTGAAATCTTTTAGATGCCTTGATTGGAAATTATAGGGATTTTAGCACGTCAAATACAATATTTCTCACAAAATGTGTGTATATGTACTTACCGGTAAATTTACTGTATTCTAGAAATCCTCTTTTTATTTTTTTGCATTTGAAATGGACACTTAAGATTGCAATATTATTGATATGAACTGGTATAATTTTTTTAATGGAATTTTTCAGAAACTAAGAAAACGAGAGCAGTTGTTACACAGACTCCAGGGTTTGGTGTGGGGGGAGAGTGAAATGACCCCCCAGGTCCTGGATTATTTCCTGAAAAGACTCTCCTCCAATCAAGCTTCAAATAGGGCACTAGCAATCAGGGTAAGATACCTCTCATAAATATTAATACAGTAAAACTCGTTTAGTACGAACACGGATATAGCGAATTCACAGATATAGCGAAGTTTTTCTGGGTCCCCAGCAAAATTCTTAACAAATCCTTGTAAAATTTAACGGTTATAACGAACTCTGATATAACGAATTTACGGATATAGCGAACTGATTTTGGGTCCCGTTGAAGTTAAATATCATGAAATTTACATCTTTTATAACGAACTTTCAAAGATCTCACAATTTGATAAATTGAACTGACTTATTTTTGTTCATGGAATTGTATATATAATTCAATTCACAATAAAACCTTAGTTATCGAAGGTATGTTTTGTAATATTTGCTTCCCTAACATATTTGGTAGCAATACCTGAAGGAAAACCTGCATATTGCGAATTCGTTTTATATGGTTTTACGAATTCGTTATACGGTTATAACGAATTACGGATATAGCGAATTAAATTTACAGGTCCCTAGGACTTCGTTATAACCGAGTTTTACTGTACATGTAATCCCCACAATTTTCATGCATCTCAAATCCCTTAGGTTTATAGCAAGAAAACTATCATTTTTTATAAAACATTTTAGGGCCTTTCGATGGTGATATCTAAGGAGGAGACAATGGACACGGAGGATGAAGTCCCTCATAAATGGCTGTGTAAGGACCTTCCCCTCATCCCCATGTTTCCGGAGGTCTACCCACAGATTACAGAAGCCCTCCGACAGGTAGCTATAAATCTCACACATTGGTCCATTGTTCCTTGAATTACACATTTATTCCACTCTCTTACATCTTCTTTCTGCTTCACCTCAGGCTTGCCAGATAGAGACAGATCCTGATCTTGTCAGTGCTTACATTATGTTCCTGTCACAACAAACAGAGGACAAGAGTCTTCATGACCTGGATGACATTGCTTTGGTAAGAAAGATTCCTGTGTTCTGTTTCAACAATGTTAAAGAATTTGATCTTCTTTCTGTCTATGAATTTTATTGTGTATTTATGTTCATTTATCTAAGGCCATGCAAAGTTAATTACTTGGTTCTCAGGCCTTTTTTCAAGAAACATGATGAGGGAGGGAGGCATTTTTTTTTCTTTTTTATTGCCCCCAAAACATGATGAGGCAGCTTTTTACATTGTACAAAACCCCAAAAAATGATGAGGGAGGTAATTTGGTGTTTATATTTTATTGATTTAGCAATAAAAAGGGTCAATGAGGCACCCTTGGAAGAGATGAGGGAGGGCCTGAGAACCAAGAAATTAATTTTTTTTGGCCTAATTCATTTCTTTTTATTATTTGTTTAGGACATAGCCAACCTAATTGTGGACAGAACAACAGTTGTAAACCATATTTTGCCCCAGGAAGAGGGCAGTGAGAATGAATTGGCCCACATTACCCTGGCCTCTCTGTGCTCTCTTTATTTTAACTATGTGACCAAGGCCAAGAAACCCAATAAAGAAGCATATTCATGGGTATGTGAATTGAAAATAGTTATCGTGAGATGATCAACATAATTATGATTTAGGTGCCTGTACTTGAAACCACTGAAATACCGTGGAATCATCATTGTTACATTAAGACTGCAAGGTTTAAGAGACTTGTTTATTATTTGTTTTGTTTCAGTCTAACACCCAGGATCAGATCTTGTTACAGTGGGAAGGAGGAGACTCGGCCACCATGCATGTGTTAGTGGTCCATGCTATGATCATTCTGCTGACTTATGGACCTCCCAATGGTATTACATGTACCACTTAATCTCTATCCGTAATTCAGTGTACAAGCCTCTATGTTTTACACATTAAATTGCTTTACAAAATGTATTTTCATAAAGTAGATTGAGTTGCAAAAGAATTCTGTGTATTTAAAAAATGGTAGTTTGTACAACAGTTTATAAATTTTTTTTAGGTGAGAGTGACTACCAGGAGCTGCTGGAGACTTGGTTCCCAGAATCCGGTCAGCCTCCCTCTGCCTTCCTATTGGACACCTCAGAGGAAGCCCTCCTGCTTCCTGATTGGTTGAAACTACGCATGATCAGGTCAAGAGTTCACCAACTGGTTGATATTGGTAAGAAATAGATTGACTTGTTCATTTGCTCTAAATATAGTGCTGGGCTGGTCAAAGTCTGTGTTTTTTATGCACTTTTAATTAATTCATTCTTACAGTAAAGTTGTTTTCATTTGCTGTAGTTTGAAAAATAACCAAATTATTATACCCCCGCAAACGAAGTTAAGGGGGGTATATTGGAATCACCATGTCCGTCTATCTGTCCGTCTGTCTGTAGACAAGATTTTGTCTGGACCGTTTCTCAGAAACTAGTGGATGGATTTGTCTGAAAATTTATACACTTATTATTCACCATATGAAGGTGTGCACCTGGGATTTTCATCATGATTGGATGATTTTTCTGCATTTTACAGGCATTTTTTCTTTTTTCTTTTGTGATTTTGTTAGGCTCATAACTAGAAAACTATTAGACTTACAATCATCAAACTTGGACAATTTATGCATCTTGGGTAGACGGTGTGTCACGACCTATTCCAAGGTCACTGTGACCTTTAATTTAAGTGATTTTTTTAAAAAAAAAACAGTCTTTAAAATTTTAAATTTCATAATCCTAAAAAATGTTAAAATATAGTTGTATCCTTATTAAAAAATGCTAAATGAAGTAAAAACTTATTTTTTCATCATATACTTTACAGCAGATTCTGTAACAAATGTTAATGATTTGAGAGGAATTCAGTTTGTCCCATGGGCATAATTATCAAGCACTGGTCAAGGAGAATTTTTGATAGCAGAAATGTGCATGTCAAATTAGAGAGAATTAATGAGTTCATTGTCGGGAGTTAACTGGCAAGAGCATCTCTAGATCTGATCTGATGCAGTGTTATCTTAATTTATCTCTTGGGAGTTGGGCAAAAAGAAATGGCCTTATAGTTGCTTGTGTTAATTAAGAGTTCTTGATGGCTGTAGTTCAGATAAAGATCTTTCAATTGGTGTAATGTAATTAAAACAAATTGATGTTTTAGTATATGATTGAAAATGAATTAGTATTGTATAATATAATTAAAATTAATTATACATGTGTTCAGTGAAAAAAAAATTACATTTCAATTTTTATATATTTGCAACAAATTGCAGTCATGTCTCACTTAGAATTTTATAGTCTAAAGAATAATTAATTTTTGATTTTTTTTTATTAGACTGTAGCATTTCCATTATTTCATAAAATATGCAATAAACAATTTAAAGCTGCAGATGGATATTTGTTAAGCTCTAACACAGCCAGTTTAATTAGAATTATATATGATGTATTATTTGTTTTAATTAATCCCTACACTGTAAGTCTTTTAGAGATGTATGTACAATGTTTTAAACATAATAAGAAATGGAAATTAGATCATTGAAATCTGTGTCAATCTGTTAATCAAGGTTACTGGATTTTCTTGCACCCTAACCAATTTATGATTATTGAACAATATTTGATGGGCGTATCATGCTGTGGCGGGGCACTTTATTAGACAATAGTGAACACCTCTTACTAGATCCATAAAATATTTCTGAATTGGCACCTACTCTGAAAAACCCAGCGGGGGTATTTGTCCCTATTGGACAGTTCTAGTTCATCTTTGGCATTTAGCTCTAAGCTTGTTTTACTCTACAATGAAAACTTTTATTAACTACCGCCATGTTCTGCCTTTCTTATGTCAGCTCTTCAAGACATAGAGCCAGCCCAGCTGTTGTTATTCGTACAGTCGTTTGGGATTCCTGTGGCCAGTATGAGTCGCCTGTTTAAGTGCCTGGACAATGCTGTGAGTGCTGATCCTAACCTGATAGAGGAGGCGGTAGAGGACAAGGCCTACATGGCTCAGCTGATCGAGATACAACACATGAGGGGGGTAGTAGAGGGGGACATCTTCTACAAACTTCTCACAAAGTCCCTCCCTCCCAAGACTGAAGGTACATGTAGGTTTCTGTGTCTAATTTTAAAATATGAAATCATGTTTGTATTGCCTCGCAAGACTCTTCACTGAATGTGGTATTGTTTCAATTTACTATGTAAGATTTAATAGTTGTTTGAAATTTTGATAAATATGTTCTTCATTACCTTTAGCTACTGATGAAGAAATGGAAGAGCAGAAGGAAGTTGACAAGAGATGGTCCACAAAAACAGAGGATGCTAAGAGGTCTATGGTGCCTAATGTATCTGATTTGATGGTTCAGGTAATGCAGGTTATAACCTCAAAGAACATCTTTAAGTTATTATCTGATAAAATATCTTGAAGAAAACTTGTACACTTTGTTAGATAATATATTAATTGTTTGATGATAAAATGTACTTTGTATATGTTCTTATTTTCCATGTGGTATTTACACTGTGTGTGGTCACAAATTTTCTGCAGAATTTTTTTTACGATGCATTCAAGACATAAATGACAAATCAGGAAACCTGCATAATTTTCTACCAGCAGATTAAAAAGAAATTAAGATTCCACAAAATTACATGTATGACCCAATGAAAAGAAAATGTTTTCAGATTTAATATCGAAATAAATATTAACTTGTATATTTATATATGATCATAATTTCTTGTTTGCAGATTTTCAGCACAGAAGGAGATAAAAAAGAAGTACAGCAAAAGTACCACAGACTTCTGATGGTAACTCAATTTTCTCCATTTTGTAGCTAGTCAAGATCATGTAAATTCATGTTGGCTGCATTCTTATTCATCCTTTTATTTCCAGACTTTATCCAGATCAGAGACCACCACAGCCATAGAAGTTACACAAGTTCTCCTGGAGGTAATCAGTTTTATCTCAAACAAATAGTCAGATCAACATACACTGTACCTTGGTTTAGTAGCAGAAGTTTTACATTTGAGTATATACCATTTTCATTGTTAACAGGCAATGGATATGCATTGAAAATTAACTAATACTTAAGGTGTATTTCAAGTACCAGGGTAAATGTACACATAGTGTATGCTCAAACGTATCAATAAAAAAAAACATATGCAAGGCTTTTCAAGGAAAATCTGATTCAGATTTGCACCAAATGGAGATTTGTAATGGCATTGTGGATTAAGAGTTATTTTCTTTTTATGTAGCCTCATTGAGCCATTACCAAGAAATTACATGTATTATAGAAAAAAGGGAAATAATTATATGACATTTTTGAGTGGCTTAATATTTCTGTATTTTTTTTTTTTATTTACCATTGTAGATGTTGGGAGGACCACACGGACCTAAGTTTGCTCAAGCTTTCTCTTCTAATCCCCAAAGCTGCTCACTTCTAAAACTTCTGGTTTCCAAGAAAGTAAGCATTTCTGATTTGTTATTGTTTCAGCATTAGTATTACATAGTCATTTTAATACCTTTTAAAGCATTTATCTAAAGTTGGATGTATAATTTAAGACATTATGAATGGAGTAAAAAGTGATTATGTCTTGAAAATGAGTCAGTTGTAATCAATAACTTTTTTGTGTCATCAACAGACAGCTTTAGGTGGTCTCCTTTACAAACTAATGGAGACTCTTTTCAATGAGGTTAAAGGTCAGAGGTGTATGGTGACCTCTATAGTTAACCAATATCTCCTATCCAATAAGCCGAATGTGCCAGAAAGGCGGCCATCTTACAAGTCCATGAAGTCCGTCGGAACCTCAAGTCAAGATATCTTAGATGGTAAGGAAACAAAAATGCACCAAATTCTCACAAATACATGTAGATAGAATAGCACCCAAGACTTGGCAGTCCCAAAGGGCACTTCATACTTGTACCTACAATGTTGTTTTGATTGGTGCTCTGTAGATTTGGTCAGTCAAGTTCAGAAGGATGAGAATAATATGGAGAAGATGATTAAGGAGTGTATGAAGGAACACACTAAGTCTCACGACAATCTCACTGCAGCAGAGAACACACAGAGGACTCTAACTGCTGTAGCCTGTAAAGCTATACTTAAAGACAACCAAGAGCCCAGGTAAGAGAAATAGACTGTTGGTAATTTACTTTGACAGGACAGATGATTGACTTGATGTGCACACACATGGTTGCAATATGTTAGTATGTTGCTGGTTTTATAATAATTTATATTCTTTATATTTGATTTTTGAATACTACATGTACTTATCAGTAGATCAAGCTTGAATGCTATGAAAAATAATTTCATGTAAGACATTTCCGTCAATAAAGTGTCAAAACTCTACCAGTGTAATTTTGTATCAAAAAGAAAAAAAGGACTTCATGTTTTGAAAAAAAAGTGTAGATTTTTTAAATGATTCTTACAAAGATGAGTACTTCAAACCCGATTTAATTTTAATATTATAGTAATACAATGACTACCTCAATGGCCCTGCTGTTCGTGGATTGGTTGGAGCTACTGGATCCTGAACTTGTGGCTAACATCCCCGATCTACAGCAGCAGCTTCTGTTTGCTCGGGAGAAGCTGGGAGCCACATCTAGACAGAGCCTGGTCAGAAACAGCCAGTCTTATCTACTGACCCTCCTCACTCACCAGAGTAGCTGGGCTTCACTTCAGAGGTGTATCAACTGTCTACTACAGGCCGATGAAGTCCCCAGGTAAAGTCTAGCTCTTCTGTTTCTCTTGAAGTACAAAAATTCTATTGAAATAAAATCATCTCATTGTGCTAATTCTGCAAGTCGTTTTAATTCCACAGTGTTAAAATTTCATGATATCTTAAAAAGTACCAATTGCAATGGTTTTAATTTCAAGCTGCAAGAAATTAATTCAAATTTCGTATAAAATGATACATCGCGAACACGGTGAAATCAAAACCATCATGATTATTTTCCAATCTACAGTATTTGAATGACTTCAATGTTTCATGTTAGATTCAGCCCCACCGCAGTGCTAGACTTTTTGTGGGCGTGTCACCAGATACCAAAGATATGGAGAGGAAGAGAGCGAAGAACCCCCAAAGTAAGCTTGGTCAAAAACTCTTAGTTTATGGCAGTGTATTCATCTTCTGAATGTTTTCTGACTTCTTTTAATGTACTGCATTAATACAAAAGTTTGGAACAAGAATTATTGACATAAATTCTGCATGTTTTTAATTATCTAGAACCACACCCCAGAGAATGTCCTTGGTTTGAACCCTTATCATCTAATAGCATTGATCAAATACATTGTCGAGGAATCAATTTTGCTGTGTCCTGATAGTAAAGGGGAAGATAAGAAAGTTTTTACCAACAGACAGACCAGCATTGCCAGCCGGATAGAGCTCCTGATGCTGTGTATAGCAGACAATCACAGTAATCTACAGAAAGTGGTCACCTATATCAGGGATATACCCTCCAGCAACAGGTATGCCTCTACTGAGAAGTCTTATTGCGGAATTGCATAGTTGTAAGGAAAACTAATTATTTTCAGATAATGTACAAAATTGGCAAAGTATTTTGGTCTGTGCTTGTCTGTCTTCAACTTTTGTGATACATTTGTACCGATATTTGATACATTTGAAGAAGTGAATAAATAACTGTGAACTTAACGCGATCGTTTCAGAGATTTGTTGTTGAAAGTTATTCATAAAATGAGCATTGGAATTCAATACCACAGAAATTTGCCTTTCAGATAGTCTTAATGTTCAGGGAACACTACTTGTTAGCATACATACAGTTAACTTGATAATGAACTTTACTTTTCAGCAGTAAGATGCTTTACCAACAGCTTCTGGTAGAGTTATACTCCCAGTGTCCCAAGGTCATTTCCTGGTTGTCTGATGTACAAGGAGCATTTTTTGATGGTCAGCTTTCTCAGTCCACAATTACACAGGTGCTTGTTATGAAAAGTATAGTTTAAGAGTGCCAGTCAATGACAGTCATTCTTACCGTATATAAGATTTCTAGCTTTTGGCAACAATTTGATGAAGTTGTACAATATTTAAACAAAGAAAAAATGTCATGAAACTTAAGGATAAATTCTTATAACTCTAGTTTACATATTCTGTATTTCAAAAATTATTCCCTTATATTAGGTTGACATTGTATCACATCGACTCCTGACATGCCTGGGACAAGCTGGGAATGGTAAGACAGCTGAGGATAAGATGTATGACGCTAACATCGCCTGTCGTAAACTGGCATCACAGCATCCTCTACTGATGTTAAGGTAAGTTGTGTTCAACACCCTGTGTCACTCCCATCTCAGTGTCAAGCTTAAAGTAAAATCATCCAAGATTTCTTATTAAGTCATAACATGATTTTGCTTTTTCATTAGTGAGGACGTATTATGTCCATAAATATTTGAATTCATTTTCAGACAACTGCCCCTGATAGCAGCTCTGTTGAAGGGTAAGACCCAGTTTACGTTTGGGGAGATGAGACATAAGAACTACTTGCTGCTGTTTACCCACGTCCTGGGTCTGATGGAGACATTACAGCCTCATATATTCAGGAAGGACTACATGGCCCTGGCTGATGTCATCGACTCCTACTTCTCTCTTATTGGGGTGGGTTTTAAGTCACCTGATTTTACATGCTATACATTTGTATTTTTGCTTGGAACCTGAAATCTGTTTTAATATTTTTCTAAATTCATTTGAATTAACAAAAGAGGATATCATGTCAAGTGACTTCTTCGATTGGCTTTTCAGAATCATGCTAAAGGGAAACAACTGGGGCCAATCATCCACAAGTACATCAAGTTCCTGTATCAGTACACCATACATGAACCCCAGCATTCCTTTATCATATTGCAGAAATACGTCAATCTGCTCAGGTAAAACTCGTCCTAACCTTTCTATTCCTTTTTTTCCCGTAGATGGCTTTACCTGATCACATGTATGTTTTTTCTTTAATTTACATTTTGCTGTACTATGCTGGCATATGCCTTGTTAAAGAGGTAGTTAACAGTCCAATTGAGACATTTATACCTTCATGAAAACTTATCACATGATAAAATTTGTACCTGTACTTATAGTGGTATTTCTACTACCCTGAACTCTCTGTATAAATTTATTAAATGATTTACTTATAGTGGTATTTCTACAATGTACCCTGAGCTGTCTGTTTAAACTTATCACATGATTTACTTGTAGTGGTATTTCTACAATGTACCCTGAGCTGTCTGTTTAAACTTATCACATGATTTACTTGTAGTAGTATTTCTACAATGTACCCTGAGCTGTTTGTATAAACTTATCACATGATTTACTTATAGTGGTATTTCTACAATGTACCCTGAGCTGTCTGTTTAAACTTATCACATGATTTACTTGTAGTAGTATTTCTACAATGTACCCTGAGCTGTTTGTATAAACTTATCACATGATTTACTTATAGTGGTATTTCTACAATGTACCCTGAGCTGTCTGTTTAAACTTATCACATGATTTACTTATAGTGGTATTTCTACAATGTACCCTGAGCTGTCTGTTTAAACTTATCACATGATTTACTTATAGTGGTATTTCTACTATGTACCCTGAACTGTCTGTTTAAACTTATCACATGATTTACTTGCAGTGGTATTTCTACTATGTACCCTGAGCTGTTTGTATAAACTTATCACATGATTTACTTATAGTGGTATTTCTACTATGTACCCTGAGCTGTTTGTATAAACTTATCACATGATTTACTTATAGTGGTATTTCTACTATGTACCCTGAGCTGTCTGTATAAATTGATCACATGATTTACTTGTAGTGGTATTTCTACTATGTACCCTGAGCTGTCTGTTTAAACTTATCACATGATTTACTTATAGTGGTATTTCTACAATGTACCCTGAGCTGTCCGTGCTGAAGTCTCTCCTGGCCGGACTAACACTGTCCAGACAGGCTGACTGTGACCAGGGTAGTGTGGCACCTGTGGGGGGTCAGCCAAGGTCAAGCTCACCCTGGACCGTCGGTCAGCTGACCCCGTTCTTAGACAGACTCCACACAGCCACTGACAGTGATGGTAGGTTTATTATAATGAGACTCCAAATCTCGATATGTGTATTTTGAATCTAAGATGTTTGAGTATGCAAGTAAAATCAGTTTTCAAAATTATTTCATTTGGTTTGGAATTCTCACCAAGCACAAGAAATTTGAATGCAGAAGAAAAATAATGTTCTTTATTATGGATGGATAGATAGCGTAGGTTTTCACTCTAATTAACAGTTTGTGTGGTTTACTTACAGATATACTGGAAGTTTTGACAGATCTGGATGAAACTTCAAAGAGAAAAGTAGACATCCTAGAACATTTTATAGTAAGTTATATTAAATATTTCAGCAAGTAAAAGTAACTGAAGAAATTTGGCATTTGAGAATTTGCAAGTATTAACATTACATTTACAAAAATTGTAAATCCCTAATACATGTATAACTTTCTGTTAGGGAGATCTGAAGAAACTGTTGTTTCATGCCTCGGACACAGTCAGAAATACAGCGTACAGTTTGGTCATGAGATACATCAGACTTAATCCTAGGTTGGTGCTGCATTAAATACATCAAAAATATGCACATTGCCAAAATCCATTCAAGAAAAATTCATTATTGTATTTTTTTTTTCAGTCCCAGACACATCACAATGTTTACAAGTTCAGAGATTGCAAGAATGTGATTTTAATGTTTATCAATTGCAGGGCTTCAGAGCAGTTTGTTGGGAATTTCCTGCATTGCTTTGATAGTGAAAATCCAGATATTGTGACAAGTGCTCTGAAAAATCTCCCCGAGTTTTGTGTGCTCTGTCAAGGTATGTAAAATTTCAGTTTGCCTTCAGGATCTCTTACCTCTTGTAAGCAATGTTTATTTTATCTCAGTTTCTCCTGTTACATTTTGCTAGAACGTCAGCCAAAGCCTCCCTGTTTATGATGAATGTAAATCTTGATGTAAATTTTATTACCATCGTTGTGAAATCAATGTAGTGAATCCAGTAACTATTATTCATCAATGAATGAAAATTAAATGTAGCTTATCCTGTTTACATTGAGGAAAGAGGTGTAAAATAATGTCACAACAGACTAACATCTAATTGACTGGTCCAACATCATACTGAGCACCTGGCATCATTTTTTATGCACTGCTTATTAAAACATTGGAAGTGTCCGACTTTTTTCACCACAGCTTTATACAGGAAACAGTTTTTAGATGTATATTAACAAGCATTCTGAGTTAATTGCATAAGCAATACATGTCCCCTATCGTGTTACCCTTTTCTCTTCACGAGGCAGAGTCTAATTATTTCTACCCTAGGAATTTTGGCAATTTTTCGTTAATAAATCTTTACTGTTATATTTATTGTTTTAGATTAAAAATTCAAATGTTTACCAACCAGATTTCTTAGGGGGGCATCTCAAAAGATGTCAAATTTTACTCATGGACCCTATGGGAATTTGTTGGAAAAGCGCCCAAATTATCACATTTTCCCCTTTTTTTTGTATTTCTGCACTAGAGATTTCTTCTCCAGTCAAGTAGATTAAAGTTATTGTAAAAAGCCACCAAATTGTGAAATTTCAAAAAAGTTGATGCCCAATACCTCTAAAATTGCCATATTGTCGTATAATAAAATACATATTAATGCAGATGAATTATCAGCACAGATAATTTTTTTTGGTAAAAATAGCAATATTTAGATTGCTAGTATGTTTTTTGATGTTCTTCATCAGATTTAAGTATAATGTCCATAGACATCTACCATGTCTACAAACGTATAAGCGCTAGAGTCATGTGCCATTCTTCAGCATTGAGCATTGCCTACAAAATCAAAAAACAATGACGTCGATAGATCCATTTCAGCGTTCTTCCTAATTATTGTCGTAAAATCACATTTTTAGACCAGTAGGCATTACAAATAATGCTAATTTTATATTGAAATCACAATATTTGGCTGGCGCACTTATGACTGCATGAAATTAAAAAGCTGCGCAAAGTCATGTGCACTTGAATTAGACATGGCCTCTTTAAGGATACAAGCTTGTTTAATTTAGTGCATCACGAACCCGATCGTAATCCCAATTATAAAAAATTGAAATGTGAAAATTCCATAAAAAATTAATGATGCGGAACAAAATTCAAACTTGATCTGTTACTCATCAAGATACACTAACATACCAAAAATCAGCTCAATATCTGCAAGCATTTAAAAAAAAAAGTGCAGAAAACCTAGTGGGACAGACTGACATAGGACAGACAGACAGACAGACAGACTAAGAGGAAACCTATAGTTCCCTCAGGTTTCACTGGTAGGGGACTAACAATAAGTAATATATAGAGAACAAGATGTGTTTTTGAAACCCTATGCGCTGATGGCAAGGAAATTAGGAAAAGCTACTATTTTTAGGGTATAGGTCATAATACAGGCCACAAGGTCATTGATCTTGGTGTCATTTAAAGAACTTAATTAGTGGAGTATGCATTCCAAATATGAAGTCTCTGTCTCCTATGGTTCAAAAGTTATGGCGAAAGTTGGAAAAAGCTATTTTTAGCATATAGGTCACAGTCAAGGTCACAAGGTCATTGACCTTGGTGTCATTTGATTGATTTATTGATTGTATATTGTTTAACATCCCTCTTGAGAATTTTTCACTCATATGGAGACGCCACCAGTTGCCAGTAGAGAGCTACAAATTTTGTCCTATACTTGGGATTCAGGGCCATTGAGCAGGGAGGGATCTTTTTCGTGCCAGCACCTACTGCAAAAACAGGACTTTGTTTTATACGGTCTCATATGAAGGACCGATCTCCATGCTCCACAGTGGGATTCGAACCCGCGATGTAGGGATCAACCCTTACTTTGCGACTCTAAAGCAGAGGCCCTAACCACTGTGCCACACCGGCAACTGGTGTCATTAGAAAGAGCTTAATTAGTGGAGTATGCATAACAAATATGAAGTCTATCTCTCATTCAAAAGTTATGGTGAAGGTTAAATTTGACAACAGACAAAAAGACAAACAGACAAAAAGACAAACAAACAAACAGACAGACAAAAACAATATAAGCCCCCAATCTATCAATCTGGGTGCATAAAAATCTCTATTTTTCCCCTCAGTAATTAAAGGAAAACATCTTTTATTTTATATTTGACAATAAAAATAATTTAAAGATGAAAAAAATTCCAGGTATTAACGACTTAGAAAAAAAAATCCATTGAAAAATATTTAAATTTTTATTCCTTAAAAAATTGAATTGTACGACTTTGTGATGACAGTGTGATTTTCTCCTACATTTAATTTACATATAATGTCAATAAACATTGATATAGAAGGTTTTTATGAAAAGATTTTTTACAAAAATTAAATATGTTTTTCCTAAGGAGCTTTAATCAAATCTTTTTTTTTTGCAGCACAATGTTTGAAGAGTATTATGCCTCTTTAATATGCTTATTTACAATTTCCCCTGTAGATCACGCTGATGAAATTCTGCAGAAATCCTTTATGGTGGGGACCACTACTGCCATGGAGACCAGTAGTTATATAAGTGAGACGTTACAACTACTGAACCTGGAGACAGTGCAGATATGAATGTAGTTAGATTGTTATCATTCAGAACTACTGACCCCAGAGACTGAGCAGATATAACAGTTAGACTGTTAACATATAAAATTACTGACCCCAGAGACTGTGCAATATCAATGTAGCAGATTGTCACCTTAAGGACTGTACATGTATCTAGCTGCTAGATTGTTATCATATGGAGTAATATGAAGAAGTGATCCATTTTCTGAATTGAAACTTTGGAATATTAAAGTTTGACTAAAAGCAATATATTCTGGGGTATGCATGAGGAATTTCTCACTTTGGAATCTTAATCTGTGTTCCATTTTACATAGATCTTTATGTTGAGAATTCTCTCAGCTCATTGCGATTATGGTGCATATGACTTCTATCGATTTTTCAAACAATTTTTGTCCATAAAAAGGATAAATAAAAGTGCTGCTATAGGGAAAAAATCTTTCTTGTTAAAATTATTTTGGGAGAAACATGGATTTTGTTATGTTGATCTGAGTTACTCAGGTGACCAATTGTTATTTTTCTTTTTCCACCATTGTGCAACATGCATCATTTGTCGGTAGTAAACTTTTGAACATTTTCACTTCTCTAAAGCCACTGTACCAAATTCAACCAGAGATCATAAAATTCATAATTTCATGATCCCTGCCCCCTCAGACCTGAGATGCAAGTCTAAAAAAAACTATCAAATTCACAGCTGTCTTTAAAAAGCCTTTTTAGCTCACCTCAACGAAATTTGGGGAGCTTATGCAATACCCTCGGCCTCGGCGTCGGTGTCCCAGGTTAAGGTTAAGTTTTTTGGAGCAGTTTTCTTTTTAAGTACTTTTATGTCCTATATTGATTAGACATGCATGGAAGGTGCTTCTGATGTGTTTCATTGTACCAGCCAAAGTTTCAGATGCTGCAATTTCAGCAGAGGAATGACCAGGTTAATGTTTTTGGAGCAGGTTAACATTTTTGGTGCAGTTTTTGGTGTAGGTCTCATTTCCAAGGAACTATAAGCCCTATGTTGACCAAACTTGCATGGATGATACATCTAAGGCATACTACCAGGCTTGCTTCTGATGCTGAATCTGACCTACATTTGCCGCATGAGTGAACAGGTTAAAGTTTTTGGTGCAGGTCTCACTTCCAAGTAACTATAAGCCCTACAATGACCAAACTTGCATGGATGATACATCTAAGGATGCACACTACCGGGCTTGCTTTGGATGCTGAATCTGACCTACATTTTCCGGATGAGTGAACAGGTTAAAGTTTTTGATGCAGGTTTCATTTCCAAGTTACTATGAGCCCTATAATGACAAAACTTGCATGGATGGCACATCTTAGTATGCATACTACCAGATTTGCTTCGGATGCTGAACCTGACCTACATTTTCCGGAAGAGTGAACAGGTTAAAGTTTTTGATGCAGGTTTCATTTCCAAGTTACTATGAGCCCTACAATGACCAAACTTGCATGGATGGTACATCTTAGGATGCATACTACCAGACTTGCTTCGGATGCTGAATCTGACCTACATTTTCCGGATGAGTAAACGGGTTATAGTTTTTGGTGCAGGATTCATTTCCAAGTAACTATGAGCTCTTTAATGACCAAACTTGCATGGATGATACATCTAAGGATGCATTCTACCAGGCTGGCTTCGGATGCTGAATCTGACCTACATTTTCTGGATGAGTGAAGATGTTAAATTTTTATGCAGGTTTCATTTCCAAGTAACTATGTGCCCTATCTTGTGCAAACCTTCTTGGATGATACATCTTAGGATGCACACTAATGGACTTACTTCGGATGCTGAATTCGACACACATTTTCCAGGTAATGGACCTGGTTATGGGTGCAGGTCTATTACCAAGAAACTGTAAGGCTTATATAAACCAAACTTGCACAAATGATGCATCAAGGGGATGAAAACTCTCAAACTTGCTTCAGATGCTGGATTTTAATTACGTTTTCATGATGAAGAACTAGTTTGAAGTTTTTATATAGGTCTATTCCAAAGTATCGGAACAAAATTGCAAAAAAATTGTATTTTTGGATGTACACTCTTTGTTGGGTAGTTGTGTGACTTTGCCTTACTTACAGACAACATTCGTTGAGGTGAGCTCTGTAATCTCTGATTAGCTATGTTTTTTCATGGACATTAAGCAGTAAACCTGCATGATTTTAAAAATGGAACATTTTACCAAATTTTAAAATTCTTGTCTCAAGGGGTTTAGGAGATAATTTTCTCAAATGCAAGTTAAACTCAAAGGTCAAGGTCAAAAAGTCAACATTGTTGATATCCAAAGGAAGGTCTTGTCACAAGGAATACACTTGTGAAATATGAAAGCCTTAGATCTAACGGTTTTAAAGTTATGGCCAAGGTTAATTTTTTTTTAAAGGGGGTCAAACTCAAAGTCAAAGTCAAAAATATTAATACCCACTGAAAGGACTTGTCACAATGAATACACATATGAAGTACCGTATAAGCAGAATTTTTAGCGAGGAGTTAATTTTTGCATTATTAGCGAGGGTGCCAAGATCGCTAAAATTGTATATCACTAAAAATTAATTGTGCTTTATTTGTAATGGCTTCTTTAGTGAGCTTTTTAAAATCGCTAAAATAACATCTTGCTATAAATAAATATCAATTTTTAAGGACAAATCGCTTATACGGTATGAAAATCCTAGCACCAACTGTTCAAAATTTATGACTAGATAAAAGCATATTTTTTTGTAAAAGTGGATCACACTCCAAAGTCAAAAGGTGGTACTCCAAGAAAGGTCTTGTCAAATTGTTGATATCCAAAGGAAGTTCTTATCACAAGGAATATGCCTGTGAAATATGAAAGCCAATAGCCCTACCCAGTTATGAGCAAGGTTAAAGTTAAACAGACAAATGGACAGGGCAAAACTATATGTCTCTGACTCTTTGATTATGAGGCCATGAAAACGAGAAAATAAACCTAAAAATCTAAAGATAAACAGGACCAATGTGTTTCAGGTGAGCTTTGTAGCCCATGAGTCTCTTGTTTGCTATCAATTTCAAAACCTAGGCCCATAATTACTTACCTTTACCTGTTCAGTACTGAGGGCTCACGGCAGGTATGACCAGTCTACAGGGAATGCTTTCTCCTCTAAGACACTTGATTCCACCAATGGTGTTTCAACGGGTCCGTGTTTTTATTTTTTTTGCCCGGTTCATTTTTCGTATTGTTTACAGCATTTGGCACTGGTTACTCTTCGTTTTCTTAAATTTTTTTTCTATTAATATGACAAGTAAAACAGTATACTTATAATGATGCAATGAGAAGATAATTACTGCACTGAATATTACACCGAATTTACTTGATCAGCACAAAACTCGCAAGGATAGACACTTTTATATGACCAAAATATAACTCGTGAGAATTTCTACTCGGGAAAACAAACAACTGTCAAGAAAAATGCTGTCAAAGGACTACGACCGCAAGTGCCTTTTTTTCCATATAATTAAATTTACCTTGAACGAAATAGTCTTTTTTCTCTGCCTGGAATATTTGTAAAGCAAGTATGAGGTTGAGGTCAAAGTTCACTCAAAGTGTGACTAGATTTCTAATTGACCACCAATAAGTCTACTTTGATCGACATATCGGTATTCCTGTATAAAACATCACCCTTCAGGAGCATCTAAGTCGTAAATATACTTTGTTCGACGTATCGGTATTCTTTTATAAAACATCACCCTTCAGGAGCACCTAAGTCGTAAATATATCTGTTCATCTTGTTCCGTCGGTGTATTAATATATTAACAGAGTTGTTTTATTTCAGACCTTTTAAATAAATAAATAATATAGTTACCCTTCCTGGTTGAAAAGCAGATATCCTTATTCGGTATACTTTGTTCTTTTATGTTGTGGCTATGTTGATTAAAAACATTAATTAAATACACCATCCTCAAACCGTGAGTATCAATATCGGGTTGGAACTCTTTTAACATATACGTTAATACGTCAAGAGATCTATACCTGCTGTAATTAAAGAAATCGTGTCCATGAGATACATGTACATATACATGTTTCTCAAGTTTTTTTTGTGCAAGCAGAATTTTTTTCTTGTTCTTGATTAGATTGTGCATATGACTAGGCTTGGTTTCATTTCATATATACAACACGAATGACGAGGGTGTTAGATTTAATCCAAAAATACATATCTTTTTCTTATTGTGGAGATCACATTACTTGTCATTGTCGGTAACCCACGGTCTGTCAGGCTTCTCCTACCTCCAAACTCACGATGGTTCTTACTTCTTATAGAAAAGTACTTTAAAGCAACGCGTGGTAGAAATTCTGGAGAACATACCACTTCATTCAGCTTGAAAATTACTATCTTTACCAAACAAAATGACTAAGAAAATAAGAAATATTGGGAGATTACCAAAAACAGGCATTCTGAGAGTACTGCCATATAGCAATACTAGTCCCCTACCGTCAATTGTAATCTTGTTCCCATTAAAATTAAAAGTGCTGTTATTCCTTCAAAATTCGTCGACGCGGAACGAAATTCAAACTGATTCAAACATCTACAATCCATTAAGATAATGTTGCATAACAAAAATCAACTCAATATGCGCAAGTGTTTAGGAAAAAATGTGGAAGACTTTTAAAAAGAGAAAAAGGTCCCAATTTCGTCAAAATTCAATAAAGCGAAACGAAATGCAAACCTGATCTGTTACTATTAAGGATACACTCACATACCAGAAATCAGCTCAGAATGTTCAAGCGTTTAAAAAAATGCTGAAAACCAAGTGGGTCAAACTGACAGACAGACGGATGGACGGACGGATGAGGAGGAAACATCACAGGCACTTGACGTTACCTATGTTTCTTTTAATAAAAAAAAAATATACCCCCTACATTAGGTAGGGGTATACTTTGTTTATTATTATAAGAAAAATAAGTAACGTCAGGTGCCTGTGGGAAACACATAGTCCCCTCCGGAAGGGGACGAACAAATAAAGAAATAAATTATCGATGGTGCCGAGGTAAAAGAACTTTTAAAGAAAGTATTCAACATATTTGAAAGAAATTTCATTTAAAGCTGCTCAGGTCAGGTTGGGATGACACTGACAACCTGTCCAAACAAGCAGAAGAAGCAGCGGGACAAGGAAACGAGAGAACTGTATACGGTCACAAAGAAGCTTTCCAACAAGTTCCAGCAGACAGATAAGCCAGTGAAGAAGAACGGGAAACCTCTAAAAACAATAGAAGAACAATTGAAGAGGTGGGTAGAACACTTCGGAGAGCTATTAAACAGACCAAAACCAGAAAGACATCTTTACATAAAATCAGCCGATACAGACCTCCCGATCGACAAGACAACAAAGACAAGAAATAAGGAGAACAATTAACAACATTTAGAATAGAGAAGCGGTAGGGCCTGACAAGATACCAGCAGAAGCCATGG